GTTCAGTGCTTCGTAACATATTAAATTTTTGTTGTTCTATATTAATTTCTTTCAATTTTTTGTTAGCTTTGTATTTAAATGTAGTTATTCTTTCACGATATTCGTCAACACCGTTTAATTCCTGGTCTAGATCCTTTATGTCTATTAATTTTTCTATATCGGCATCTATTTGTTTTAACTCGTTCGATTTTTCATTTAAGAGTTCTAAGGAAATTTCTAGTTCCTCTGCATTCACTTCTGTTTTTGGTAATTCAGTTTCGATTCGGCCAATTAATTTTGTAACGGCAGCCCTTATGTGGCCGCGTTTCCTTTTCAATGTATCGATGAATTCCGTCATTATTTAATATTCAACAATTCAACAAGTATCAGCAATTCACTAATTATTTATGTTTATGCTTATGTATTATCTATATAACTGATATCAATTTAGACAGTTTCAATAGTTAGGAAAACAGCAGTTACTGGCAGTCCCTGTTCGGGCGCCATGTTAAAAAATTTTATCAACTTTGTACTATTAAAATTTTTTGATCATTAAATAGATAAGTGAAAGTTCACTTACCTTCTAAATAGGGCTGCCCTGAACTGCCTTGCTTTTCCTTCTTGTCGGTATCCGTCTCTATGATGAACTTCGATTCACTGCGCAACACAGCTATAAACTTTTTAAGAAATTTTAATTCGTATGAAAGATATCTACAAAATATTTACAAGTTATAATGATTACAAGCATAATTTATACGGAGACGGTCTATCGTTATACATCTGTTAGACGCGTCAGCCGTTCAACTGACTACTTTTAGTCTCTTACGCCAGAGGGCGTTCGTGGAAGTAAAGTTCTAGTAAACAAACGCGACACTGATACTAATATCATTATCTCTAAAGCTGATAAGGGCGGACAGATCGTTGTTATGGACAACCACACATATATTACTGGCGTCTCTAAACTGATAAATGAAGGCCCATACTGCTCGATCCCTAAAGATCCTTCAACTTCGGACCTCACGAAAGTTAAAAGTGCTATCAAATCTTCCCACATTCTGCCAACTCAATTGAAGAAATCACTTATTCCACCTATTACTAATTGCGCTAGGCTTTATGCTCTTCCAAAAGTCCACAAAACCGGTATTCCTTTTCGACCAATTGTTTCCAACATAGGTACTGCTTCATATCCTTTGGCCAAATATTTAGTTTCCAGATTTTCTCCTCTACTTGACTAACAATATTCACACTGTAAGAAATTCTGTTGAAGTCATTGATAAACTTAAAAATATTTCTCCACTTCGTTCCATTATGGTTTCATTTGATGTCAAATCACTGTTTACTAATGTTCCGGTCGAAGGAGCACTAAATTGTCTTGAAACTAGGCTTCGGGAATTTCACTTCACACATACTGAAATTAATGAGTTGGTTTCGCTTACTAAAGTTCTCTAAGTCAAACCCACTTTGTTTTCCAAAATGCATATTTTCGTCAAGTTGAAGGATTGGCTATGGGTAATCCTCTCAGTCCGGTACTTGCTGACATTTATATGCACTATTTTGAGATGAAATTATTTGATAAATTATCTTTTCGTCTTTGGATTCGGTATGTTGACGGTTATAAAGAGGATTTATCCGAGATTCTATCTATTATGAATTCAATTGATCCAGCCATCCAATTCACTCTTGAAATTGAATCCAACAATTCCCTCCCCTTCCTTGATATTCTTATAATCCGCAATGAAACTGATTTTAGCACCACTGTGTACCGTAAACCCTTTGCAGTTTGTTTTACCACCCCATGCCAAGTCATGCCACCCTGTTAAGCAAAAAATGGCTTCTTTTTACTATTATGTATTCCGCGCGCTTAAAGTTTGTTCCTCTGAATCTTTGCTTACCAATGAACTTAATTATTTGAGAGCAGTTGCGATTGACCGTGGATTTTCTCCCGTGATTATTGATAAAGCCGTTAAAAAATTTTCAGATTCCCATCAAAGAAGACATTCCACTGTTAGAAATAATATTAATGACCTTGTCGTGCTTCCATTTTATCCTTCTGTTAGCTATAAAATTGCACGGATTCTCCAGAAATTCAATTTTCAAGTCGGTTTCTCCCCTATTAATAAAATTCACCCTTCGATTCTAAAAGATTGCGTTTCTGTCTTGAATTCTTGGGGAATTTATAGTATATCGTGTCAGTGTGGTTTAAGATATATTGGCCAAACAAAAAGAGCGTTGAAGTTTCGTATCAAGGAACATGAATCTTATGTCAAAAAAGGCGAAATTAACAAGTCTTCAATAGCGTATCATAATTGGACATTTAACCATAATTTTGACTTTGGGTCTGCAAAAATTATCCAAAAGGCTTCTTCCATAGGTGAATTGGATTTTCTTGAGGCTTTTCATATTCACAAAGATTTAGCATGTTTAGTTAATGATTTGAAGTCCAATCCAGTCCTTCCTAATGCCTTTAAAATTCTACTATCTTAATTCAGTTATTTTTGCCGATAGATGGCGTTACCTCCTCGCGTTTGGTACTACCAGAGGGTATAAAATCCGTTCAGTGGTTGCTTTCCATTATTTGAAGTTCAGATTTTGAGCGTGAAGGTGCATTTGCCCCTCGCTCCCTATTTTTAACTTCGCTAATTTTTCTTGTCCTTTGTGTTACATGTTTGATCAGATAGCCTGGCTCAGTAAAAGTAGGCGGCCAGTGCAACTCTGATTAAAAATCTGGTTACAACCACGTGCAGTGCTGATAAGGACCACGTGTTTCTAAGACTCCTTTCCCTTTATTTATTTTTTTTTCCTTCTTTCTAGGTATTTCTTTCTCCTGATGAGGAGGGACCTTTAGCTGCCCTCGAAATCGATTGAGTGTTTCAATGTACATACGCTAAATACAAGGTTGTTTTTACGATGTTGATTGTCACATTAGCGTGTTTCTCTTCTATTCTAATACAGGACTATATTCTTCGGCGGATGCACATGCCTTCTAGCATATCTGGTGTTCTCAAATAAGGTTGACAGTTAGTATAATCATGCATATGTATGTGCATATACACTGTAACACAGTTATAATCATGCATATACCAGGTAGCCATAATTAAATTGACAGTGCTCACAATGCTCTGTAGCGCGATCTATTTGCGAGAATGACGCTGCATTTTGTAGGAAGATTAAACAAGACGGGGGACGAAGGATTCCGCGAAAAAAAATTAGTTCCAAAAGTCACCGCTAGGGGAATATTTGGCGCTATGTAATAGAAAATAGAGTGTTAACAAATGCAAATTAATACGGAATAAAATTACCTTTTATTATGGATATGCCTTATGAAATATGGATACGCCTTACAGTATGGTATGAAAAATATTACAAAAGATTATCAACCGTACAAGATCAGCCGTGTACAGCAGTTACTGTACCCCGACTATGATAAGCGATTGACTTTTGCTCTCACCTTTCTTTCCAGAATGGAGGTGAATGACGCTTGGCCGTGGAAAATCTTATGGGGAGACGAGGCCCACTTTTACCTGAATGGAACTGTGAATACCCAGAACTGCCGAATTTGGGATGACAAATCACCACATGCAATCACAGCAATTCCCTTACATTCACCAAAGGTAACTGTTTGGTGTGGGTTCACAGCGGAATTTATCGTAGGTCCATTCTTCTATGAGAACTTTACCCCGACAGGACCGAAACCTGTTCTGTTACCCGGAGAGAATATCGCCACATGTTGAACAGCTTTGTCATTCCGGCACTTCAGCAAAGACAATGCCTGGGGGAAAATCATTTTTCATGCAAGATGGAGCCCTCCACACGTTGCTGTACGGGTGCAACAGATGCTACGACAGAAATTCAACAACAGAAAGAGTCATTAGCCGCTACTTTCCAACTGCATGGCCACCTCGGTCGCCTGATCTTACCCCATGCGACTTCTGGCTATGGGGTTACCTTAAGTCTAAGGTCTGTCAAGGAGTGGTCCAGGACCTGACTACGTTGAAGGATAACATATCACGGACTGTACGGGAGATTCCTGCAGACATGTTACTTTCTGCTGTTGTGCATACTGTGCACAGAATGCAGTATGTGGTCCACAACAACGGCAGCCACATTGAACCTCATTTGAATGCAAAATAAAAGGTAATTTCGCATTGATTTGCATTTGTTAACACTCTATTTTCCATTACTCAGCGCCAATTATTCCCCTAGCGGTGGCTTTTGGAACTATTTTTTTCGCGGAATTCTTCGTCCCCCGTCTTGTTTAATCTTCCTACAAAATGTGGCGCCATTCTCGCAAATAGATCGCGCTACAGAACACTGTGAGCACTGTCAGTTTAATTATGGCTACCTGTTATATGCGCATATACCCCAGATACTCACTTGTGCTGCTGATTATAGTAGTTAGTGTACAAAATCGGGTCGGAAAGAGATGAAAATGATGCATAGCATTTCATAACGGATCGGATTACGCAATCAGAACAGCCGCATTCGGCCTCGGGTCGGCTTTTGCCCACATCTGCTTCATATCCATTTCTTCATCAACTGGTGACGTTAAGAATTTCGCTTCCTTTTATCCATTTTCCTAACATTTGGTCATGAAATCTCGAATCTTCGTATGCTTTGAAATGCTCCGTTACTTCTCATTTGAAAAATTCGCAGCTGAGGATTATAGATTTTCTTTGAAATTCAAAACTTAAGTACCATAAATATGCTTATATAAATTTATCTTGCTAATTATTAATTTATATAACATTAGCAATATATGAATTTCAATATATAACAGATTATTTTTACCAAGTGAAGTAACAAATTATTGTTGTGCAAAGTATTTTCCTTGTGGGAAAATTAAGAACAGTAAATTACTGTTTAAAGTTTAGTTTAAAATAAGGTTATAAATAATAAATTAAAGTTATATTTTTATTTTTTATTATTTTATTTTATTTATTTATTGCGTATTTATGTCTTGAAAGCCGTTTTCAGCGTACCTAAAAACTCATTGTTACATTCTTTGTTTTTATTTCTTGTAGGAGCTTGCCTAAGGAGTTACAAAAACAAAATACAAGCTGAAGTTGCCTACTATCCACCACCTAAGAAAGGAAAAATAGAAACTAATGAGAAATTTAATAAGGAAATTAACATCAAGTTTGAAAATCCTGCCACCACCATAAAAGAAGCTGCTCATTCGTCTGCTGGAACTGTATTAGATGAAGTAAGATTTCGAATTCGGCAGAAACATTTCGAAGCTAATAGATATTTCCGCGCTTTGGTTAAGTCATCTTTTAATTATCCAAATTTTCAAACTATTCAGACGACCTATGTGTCGTTTGCAGATATTATAAGATATTGTTATATAAAACATTTTACAAGAAAAGATAAAAGAGAACACTTTTAGACATAAAAATATGTCTAACTTGATACTTTGAGATAGTAACAATATAATTTTAAACTGATTCTTACACATTTTATGTATATATTTAAGATATTTTCTCTTTATTGCATCGAGCTGAATTACATTATTTATTGAGAAAGAATGGAAGCTAATTAAAGGATGACGCTTATTCATGAATATCATCAGAAGTATGACACAGTCATTAATAGTAGAGTAGATAGAGTAGGTTATGTCTCAGGGGATTCAAGAACGCGTCGCAATAATGAGCTTGAGAATGAAATAAATTTAAGAGCATGAACTTTCAGGAAACACAGCTATCCGTTCTGTTCAGAAAATACATCGATCTTGCTCGAGATTACGTGTTATTGTATATGATCGCGATTACGTAAAAAAGAAGACAACCTGTTACGGTACACAACGGCTCATAGCGACGCGGGCACCTTTTTTGCGAGTTGACCACTATTCTCTGCGGCAGAAACCTTCACATGGAGCTGGCATGAAAGTGCCAGTATCTTTAAGAAAATTAGTTTTTAATTTAAAGATAGCAGTCTTCATAAAAGTGTCGGCACTTTTATGCAAGTAGAGGTTTAATTTACTACTCTGTACAATATTCCTTCTGAGGCTATCATCCTTCGACCCTCATGTACCATGAACACAATGAAGTACACGCGAATAAGTTAAGTATATTTACAAAATTACGTTTTTATTTTCATTTTTCTTAGATGTTAATAGGATGAGGATGAAGAAAGGAATTAGTTATAAGTTTTAACTGTAACCAGTAGAAAAATAACAAAGCCTTATATCTGATATAATTAGTAAATGGTTGCTGTTCGTGTCCCTCAGGTGCATGTTTTTCTATGATGACAACTGACATTCTTGTAGACCAGTGATCGGCAAACTCATTACTCATCATTATCGAGAGACTCATTATTATTATACGATAATTATCGTATTTATTGACAAAAAATAATTTTTACATTAAGATAAAAATATGAGAAAACACGCATTTAATGTAAACTTTGCATTTCCTTGGAATCGTCTTCATTTGATACAATAAGTTTGAATAAGTCAGGTTTGTATGCTGTTGTTTTAATTTCAAGCAGAATTCCAGGTTTTCGTTAATAAGACAATTTCTTAATTTACTTTTGATCAAAATCATGCTTGAAAAAGATTGTTCGCTTGAATATATAGAGCCAATGAGCGAAAGAACAGCAGATGCTAGAAATTTTAACTGATCATGTAGAGTTGGGAGTACCATTGCAGGGGTTGAAAATTACCATATTATCCTTCTCAGGTCTTTAAAAACATATCACTTTTGGTGGGAACTTATTTTTTCAAACTTACACAATTATTTTTATCAAAATTTTCCATATCGGTATTAAGGCGTTCAAATTTGAAATTCATATTTTGTTTTCAAACCTCCAGCAATTCCAATTCAAAACTGCTAATGTCCATATTAAACGGAGAAAATTTCAATTACTTTGCACCAGCGATGAAATGCTCTTTAAGAAAGGCTAAATTTGCTTTGCCTTTTCTGAATTCTTGAAATCTCTGTAGAAAATGTTTTCTTATACTTAAAATTGTAGCAGTAAATGTCAATTAATTCAATTAATCAATTAAAGAAGTAAGGAATAATTTGCTTTCGAATGAAACGACTTGTTCCAACATTGGAAAAAAATTGTGTCCTTTCCTCTGTGGTTACATTCAATTAAAAATTATTTGAATTGCCGATGATAAAAGAGCTTAGCTATATTGACAATCTTGATCACCAATTTCGCAACACTGCAAATTTCTTTTAGCTATGTCTGGCCAAAATGGCTTCTTGATGAATGATGCAATGGTCATCTTGATGAATAATGCAATGTTCTTGCGACTAATCTTTTTCTTATTAATTTTCTTTATTAATAAAATAGAGATTCTAATATTCTTCTTTTCTCATTCCGGTCACTTTTTTTGCCCTATCTATTGAATCTGATACATTTTTTTCAAGTAGAATATGACGTCTCTCCATGCATTCAACGACAGCATTTGCAATATCCCCGCCATATGTTTGATCTTTCAGTGGCAACAATACTTAAAATTCTTCTTTAAGACCCGTACACGAAATAATTCGAATTACATATCGAAGGTGAAGCTTTCGCTGTGTCATTTATGTCATAAGATTCATCAACAGCTATTGATAATGCGGAAACCAACTTAAGATCTTCTATTTGCTGACTGGCTATATTCGAAGACATATTGATTGTCCTGTCTTTTACCGTTTTAAGAAACAATAATAACTCTAATTTTTTGTAAGAATTCTTGCTTTGCCCATAAAATCTCAGAACAGCTCCTCGATGCATTTGTAAAACAACTTTTAACCGTCTGTGTATGATTTCCCTCTCTTAGCAATCTCTTGATTAACAATGAAGCTTGAAATATTAAGTGTTCTGGAAAATTGCTTCCAATGTGAACGATTCGGTCCATTCAATTTTAATTTCACGGTTTTTGTCTTCACGGTGTCTTTTAATTTCACGGTTTGTTAAATAAATTGCTCCTAAAAACATGTTACATTAAAACATATTAAAACATGACTTCCTTGTACGGAACACAACATGACTTCCTTGTACGGAATATTAAATTATACGCATTTTTTCCTGCGTTTCATTGAAACTTATTGAATTGAATTAAATCTACTTCGTCGATAGCGCATAAACCACAATAGAGTAAATGTACTGTTTAAAATTTGCTATAGTTACTTACCATAGCGACACCCTGGCGCTAGGTTGCCCTTTTAACAGCATTACATCTCATTCATTTTGTAACTCAGAATGCACAAAAATTATACCATCTGAAGAATTATCTAATCGTTGCCACATGTTCTATTCAAATACTATAATAAATAAATCTAAAACGACGTATAAAAGAAATTTAAAAAATAAAAAAGAAATAGTTTCTCACAGATGATTCAGCGTTGCTTACCTAATGCGCATGCGCTACTCGTCAACATTCTCCTCTGTCCCAGACAGACTGGTGACAGTATTTGCTGAAAATACGAAAAACTTATTTCTTATCTTATTATCTTTAAAATATGATACCCGGAATTTTACATGATTTCAATACTTCTTTTACTTCATACCATGAAGTAAAAAGTTAAACCTAAGCCAAAAATACCTGTAAGATCTCCAACTGGTTAAAAGCTACAAGTGGCTCAATGCGCCGAGTAGGCGGTCTTGTCAGTCGAATTAGACTTTTCACTATGTCAGCTACTGACCACTGTACACACTGACGAAAAAGCTGTGGCTCGAGTGCCTTCTCTGACCCACATACCCCGCGCTCGCCTGCGCTACGCCGATCCGCCCGATACCCCGCTCGCCCGCACGTAGTCGAAATTGATATGTGGCAGAGCCTCATGCTACTCGCGAGCTGTTGTTTTCCGACCACTGCTGCATAGGAACGTAATACGAGTTTTGCAGAGCATCGACAGAAAGTCGCTCCCATGGTTGTTCCGGCGATTTGGAGTTTTTACACACCTGTAAAAGGTCCCATTTTCTACTAGTTACTGCGTTAGTGCATTTTAAAATGAAAAAGCTTCAGTTTCTTTTTATTTAATTGTATTCCTTTCTATTGTCAGAACAAAGAAAATAAAGCAACAGCAAGTAGAGCAAAGAGGAAGAATTCCAAGAAGCAACAGGAGATCCCGATTCAACGACCTCAGCAATCAGTCATTCAGCAACCTCAGATATCAATATATGAAAGACCTCAACAATCGGCACATCAACGACCTCAGCAATCAGCAACTCAGCGACTTCAGAAATCGATATATCAAAGAAATCAACAATCGGCCCATCAACGACCTCAGCAATTTAAAGGGCAAATCAACTGGCCTGAGATCCCAAGTTACGTAAGTAACTGATTTCTGTTGCTCATTTCTTTTGCAAGGAAGAAATTATCTTTTGAAACTACTGAAATTGTTCTAATTGGTAATGAAGATCTGTGCCTACGCTCATGTTCAGCGAATCTTGAACAATTCTGTTTGATGAAGTTCGTGTGGCATAACTGAAAAAGGAACAAATATGTGAGCCTCATGCCTTTGACGTACTAATCATACCATCATGCAGCACAAAATGACGTGTTGTATTTGGTGTATAGCAGGATTCTAGTCTGGACTGACTTGGAACCACAGTTGGTCTGGATTTGGATTTTATTATATGATATGATCTTGTGGAATATTTATTGTACTCGTCGAAGTCTCTCACAGGATCTTGATTCTGAGAAGAAAGCCTATACGAACCGGCTTCTTAAATATGATCCTTTCGCGGCCAGAGCGCGACCATTCCTCCTTATACCTGTAGGAGCCGAGACCAGAATTTTATTTAGTTGCATAGGTGCAATAACATGCAATAACTGTATTATGCAACACAAAAAGTAGCTATTGTTATTTAACGAGTTTTAATTAACTGATATTCATTCTTTCTTTTATTTTTAGGTGGAAACAAATACATATCTGAAAAATCCATTCGAATTATTTGATCAAAATCTATACGAAGACCTTAATTTCGAAGAAGATGAGGTAATTTTATAATATGACTGAGATGATGAGAATTGCCATCTTTGATTTTAATCTGTCTGTCTTGTGATAACAGCCAAATATTCTAATACAAAATTATTTTATTATGACGGAATGTAATTTGATCATTGAAAAATAGGGATTTGATTTTACATTACTCTGTTGTGCTTTATTGAAAAATCAATCTTAGTTTTTATACCAAAATAATCGGGAAGTGCTGGTTGTAGGGAAGAGCGAGGTAATTTGACATTAGTAAAAAAGATTAAAAGATTTGCCCTGATGGTGTAGCCGTTAACCAGCCAGTTCATATGAAAATGTCGAGAGTACAACAACAATCCCTGTAAAAAAAAAAAAAAAAAAAAAAGTTTGTTAGGATCCTCCGGATTTTAACTGTGCTATAACTGTCCAGAGCAGTTTTGGACAAACTGGGATGAGACACAGACACCTTTTGCGAAATAATCACTTATTGCGATTGCAGTACTCATATAAGCAATCCATCTAATTCAAATGACTAGACGCCATACTGTCATATGATCCATATACTAGCTGTCCTATGATAACAGTTAATACGCATATATAATCCGAGCTGTTGATTATCCGAAATGGCCTTGGTGTATATTACCTTCAATAATCAATGTTCTATTGTATAAGGAATGGATATTTATTAATTCTTGGATAAAAAAAAATATCATCTCTTTTTCAGTTTCTCTTACAGGGCATCACCCTGGAAAATGTTTAAACAAATCTGAAATAATAATACTGCAACAAATTGCTATCGTCTGTCTGTTGCCATGATGGCTAGGTCTTAAACCAGAGACATTAATAGGTTCTCGCTATCAAATGGCAATCAGCTTGGCTAACTTCATATCTGAGGGAGATTTATGGCAACATTTTTTGTCGCCTTGATACCTGGAGTTAGAAGCTTGTTTTTAGATATATTTGAAGCATATAAAATTTCAGCAAACTTATAGGTACTTTATAGATGATGTTTATAGGTTTTCATGACCCTGAAGCTGAATACTCCTCAGTCGCAGTCTTTAAATCAGTAAAAGTGCTAGGATGCATTTCGAGCTCTTTTTCTTTGAGATAGCCGCAGAGGAAGTAGTCAGATACTGCTAAATCGGTATGAACAGCTGATGTCGCCATAAAACGCATATTAGTGACCATGGAGATCCTAACTGTGTAGACAGTTACTCCGAACTACTGAAATTATTACTTCCAATAATGATAATATGTGCTGCTTTGGGGAAATGATTCGAGAATGACTGTGCATCGTTGAGTATTCACAGCAACTACTTCGTCTATCCCACTTTCAAAGAAATATGGCAGGTTCGACACCATACTGTCACCTTAGCAATGCCGAGAGGACTTTTATGAACTTCCTGGGAATTCGTTGGAGCACGGTGTTACAATAATAGTTTTTGTTGCTGTTAATTCCACCTCAACAGTGCAATATTTCAAAGAACAGTGAACCATTTTATTTGTGAATACCCCATTTAAATTACTATGGTAAGTGTTACTAAAAAAATGCCATAAACCCGATTTGTACACGAGAATATGATATAGTCAGTTTCTTTTCTTAAACGCATCCTGTGTAATTTTTTAATATTAGGTTATTTTAAATTTGAAAGAGTGTCATTTCTTCTCAAAATTCAAGTTTCTGTTAAAATGGTTTCGAAATGAGTTAAACTTAATTACAATGAACCTGCTCTAGAACCAACCACCCACAGTTCCAGTTGATTTTTTTTTCTGTAGAAGTGGTCATAGTGAGTCGATGTTCAAAATAATATTTACTTCTATTTTTGAAAATACTTGTAACTTCAGAGGTGATCATCTCGGGAAAGTGATCGCGAAGAGAAACTGTAATTATTGCTGTAGTTTTTAATTATTATATTAGCAGATATTAGGACATTAGTAAGTTAATAATTACAATAAATTGTTAAAATAAATGTTTTAAGCAGTTTTTTAAACTATGTACATTGAACCCTCTAGTGGTGACCACGTTCGGTACATAATTAATTGCCTCTGAAAGCGATCAGACTTTTAGAGCATAATTAACTATTCAATACCAAAAATTATGTATCTAAAATGACTTTCTTTACAGAAAACCCAAATCATCTGGAACCGTAAGTGAAAGTTTTAGAGAGAGTACTCTGTATGAATGTCAGTTATAGAAAAAGCGAAAAACAAATAAATTGACAAATGCATGCATTGAAGAATAAGCGTATGGACTATATTAGAGTTCCTGCCAAACACAATTCTTTTACATTTTCTTTACTTTCTTGTACGAAGTAGAAGAAGTATTGTGATTGCGAAATATTTCTAGTGTCATATTTCAACGGAAATATCCATTTTGACAGTTACCGAATTCATTTGGACCACTTTTAGCGTGATGTCGACAAATACGGACAGAATTAAGGAGTGTTTTTTTCTCCCAAAACAGATTGTAAAATGTGTTTATAATGGATTCAAAAGGGATTTTTTTCGCGACGTCTCTACGTATGTACAAACGTATGTATATATCTCGTATAATTCAAAAACGATTAGCCGCAGAACGTTTAAATTTTCTATATGGACCTGCTATAACATCTATTTGTGCACACCCTTTTTTATGACAATGGGCAGTACCGAAGGTAATATATATATATATGTATATATATTTGAATTTAACAAATATTCTCATTTCGTATAAAGCTAATATAAATTTTTAATTTAATTAAGAAATTTTAATGCAAAAATTAAAAAAGATTAATTATTGCTGCGAACTACTAATTTACAATATCATTTAAATTCTAAGAACGAGCATATGTAAATTAAGTGCACGTATCTAAAACCGTGAAAAAATATATAATATTCCAAAAAATTAATCTCAAAAAAATTTTAAGGAAATTAAGAGAGAATTTTTAAGACCAAATTAATTTGCATAAGTGAATAATTGTTGAGCAGGCAGAAGAGAGACTTATAAAGGGAAAGTTGCCTCCAAACCTAACTCTTCAATTACTCAATTCGTGTTTCGTCATCTATATAGGCAAGGGTACAGTAAATTTTAAAACCAAAAGTAGAACTAAATGCTGTGAATACTAAAAAGGAAATTTAAACAAGTAGGAATTTTGAGAAATTTAACAAGTAAAATGACAAGGAATTAAGATATTAATTAAATGTCAATATAATTAAGCATAGAAAACCAAATTTTAAGAAAACCAATGTAATTTAGAAACTCTTGCCTATTGAAAACTTTCCTTACACGAATTATGCAAGTAAACCTAAAATAAACTATACACAATCTATCGAAATATATATAAAAAAAAAAATACTAAAAAGGATAGTAAGATAAATGAAATATATAATTTAAACAACTGAATTTTTATGTTTATTTTCTTTTAAAACTATTTTAGTAATAGTGTTACGGATTTTGTATATACGTAAATAATTTTAGTAATAGTGTTACGGATTTTGTGTATACGTAAATAATTTTAGTAATAGTGTTACGGATTTTATATATACGTAAATAATTTTAGTGAAATTGTAGTACCTCGTGTATAATGTAACATGGAATACCTCAAGAAGCGAAGTGCGGTTGGAAAAATTAGGTTAAGGACGAGGTTTTTAACATTGAGGAGAATAACTATCTCGCCGAATTTCCAAGCTACTACTAAGCTAGCGATTTTAGTCGCCACACTCGGTGAAAAATTGCCCAAGGTCGTCAAACTTGGCCACCATTTGGCAACATTTTGTTCCGATCCCTGTATATCTGTAATTGGTACTGTAAATGAATAACTGTAATTGATTTCCATATGCAACTGTAATCGTATCCGGCTCTTATACGTACCTTTTATATGCCTTCTAGTAATTTCGAGAAATGGAAGGTAGTGGAAATTTCTCGGTGGCTGAGAGAAAGCTATATAAGATCGGAGAGAGCGTAAGTTCTCAGTTTTTAGTTCTGAGCTCATTCCGGAGTATTCAGAGATCTCCGTGCGAGCTCTTCAGATGCTCTTTACATTGTATTGTGATTAATGTTATTAGTTCTGAAGTGGTTCTGAAGTTATTAGTTCTGAACTAATGATTGTGATCTGTCCTACTGAGAGAAGAGTGCGAGTCCTTTCTTGAACAGTTTCAGAACTGTAAAGTGTTTCTTCAGGAAAATAAATCTTATCAAGTTATCGTCGGTTCTGTGTGCATTCAGTCCATTTCGAATCCATACTCACATAACAAATTTGTTTATCAGACGTAGGACTGAATGCTGTTACAAGAGCGATAGTTGAGCAACTAAGCAGCTAGTGACAGCTTTTGCTGCATTCCAAGAAGAGATGGAAAGTGTACGAGAAAAAAAGAGATGAATGGTGGCCAGAAGTCCGTTAAAGACGAAATGAAAGCTTTTCAAGAAAAGATGGAAACGAGCTAAGAAAAGATGGAAAAAGCTATCAAGTCAGTTTAAGAAAAGACAGAAGCACATCAAGAGGAAATAAAAAGAGAAATTACTGCCATAATAGAAAACAAATTCGAGGCTATGGAAGGCAAAATAGACAAGGTTGAAAATAAAGTTGGAGAAACTGAAAATAATTTCTACTGTCGAACAACAAATCTGATGGTAGAGTTTCCGCTGCTGATGCTAATGGAACTGACATTTTGAAGAAATTCATAGTCACAGCTCGAAGCAATTCTGACGTCTTTCTCTAAAACTAAGCGCGTATGATAGAAGGACCTCCTGGCCAGTGTACAAAACTCAGTTCTCTATAGCAGCGAACGCAAGTAGATCGGATTCCAAAGCTAAAGCTAAGGCCCGCCATCTAAACACTTCTATGAGAACAGATGCAGCGAATATCCTTCAAACTCTGCCCGAACACTAAAGGCTAAACTTCGAAGCTCTATCCAGCGCGTTGGAGCTGCGCTTTAGCGATAAGTGATTAAAAGACTACTGCAGGCTTCAGTTGAAATCCTGCCAACAGAAGCGTACAGAAACACTCCTGGAACTCGCCAAGGACGTGAAAGGCAGTCTCATCTAG